TGTTGGTTTTTGCTCTTTTAGGGGGCCCACCACCCAGTTCCCAAATAAATCACATACAGAGGCTTGTTCTTAATTATAAATGCCTGGCATTAGCTTGGCTTGTTTCTTGCCAGCGTTTCTTAACTTTAAATTATTCTGGCTACCTTTTGCCTCTGGGCTTTTTCCTTTTCTTACTTCTGTATATCTTACTTTCACTCTTACTCTGTGGCTGGCTGTGTGGCTGGGTGGCTGGCTCCTAGCGTCTTCCTCCTTTTCTGGACACTTCTTCTCCTCCCAGATTTCTCCTTCTATTAGTTCTTTCTGCCTGCCAGCCCCATCTATCCTTTCTCCTACCTCACTGTTAGCCATTTAGCTCTTTATTAGACCATCAGGTGTTTTAGGCAGGCAAAGTACCACAGCTTCACAGAGTTAAACAAATGCAACATAAACAAAGGTAACACACCTTACAATAATATTCCCCAACAATAATGATGAAGGGAGAGTTGGGATGTGCTCTGAGAGCAGTCATGGGGTGGGACTGGGCTTGGAAGAGGTGACATGTATGCTGAGATGGGACTGTGGGAATGCCTAGGAGAAGGGGAATACTAGGTAGAAGGACTTTCAAGCTCTGAATACCCGAGGCAGGAAGAAATGTACTAAGTTTGAACAAGAAGAATATGCCCAGGGTGGCTTGTGCCTGATAGGAGAGAGAGAAAGAGACTATCATTCCAGAAGAATTTAGAGATGATACACCTGGAGAAACAGGAAGCCTGGTCATGAAGCCATTGTGGAATCCAGGCTAGAGAGGATTCTGTAGTCTCTCTGATTAAAGTGGTGGTTACTACAGAGATCTGAAACATGGGAACTCTAATAAGGTATTTGGAGCGATAGAATAAGTGACACTTTTGAAGAATCAAAGCTGATTCCTGAGCAATTATTTGAGAAGATAATTCTCTGTAGCTAGAAGTGGTGACTGGGTGGGAAAGAGAGGGCGAGGAGCTGGTTTTGGAGACTGAGTTTTCCACCGGACCTGTGCACATATATGGGATGCTGATTGGACACTCCGGAGGAAAGGAAACAACTATTTTTCATGAAAGCTTGAGATCTGAGAGTAACAACCCCTCCTATGGGGCTCATGCCTGGGGACCTCATGGGAGGGATGCAGTTAGGCCCCTGGCTGTGAGGTGGGAGATAGCCTGGAGGCAGGAGGTAACTAGGATGGAAGAGCAAGCAGGTCTGTTGAGTGAGTGGAGGAGGAAAGGACAAGGATCAGCACTCATCTGGCACCTGCTCCCTCCATGTGCCTCCTCCTGCACTGGGCTGATTCATGACTCCCATTTCAGGGTTGGCTACCCAAGACAGAGGATGGGATGGCTTGGGTGGATAACAGTATCTCCGACACAGTAGATTCTGCGTGACATGACTGCAGCCATCTTGAGTCATAACCACCATGATCACCCCTGAATGGTGCTAGTTGATTTTTGCTGTGTGGTTTCCCAGAAAACTGTAACTATTTGTAAATAAAACCATTAGCATGGCATGTGGGGCTTCACAACCCAACCCTGGCTCCACGGATTCACTGACTCTTCGGTGTTAAGATAAGCCAGGTGCATTCCAGCTAGGATGAAGTCATTTTTGTCCTAGACTCAGTATGTCTTTCTTTCCGACCCAAATTGCAAGGATCCAACTGGTTTGATGTCATCCAGGACCACACTTTAGTCAGGAAGTCTTCCAATAAATGACATTCTGTCAGTTTCAGGTCTGCTTGCCTCTTTGCCTTTGGGCTGGTCTTCATCCACTAGGACCCAGTCGGTGAAGAGTGAAGGTATATGAAGTTCCTGGACCGTGTTTACCTCTGCAAAGTGCTTCCGTTGCTTTTTGCCATTTAGTCTACACAAAGATTCTAGACGAGGTGGGTGCGACTCATCCATCTAGCATCAGTGTGGTTGTTCTTGCTGCTGTTTTGTTAAATGCCAAGAGACACTACGTGGGCTAGAGTGAGAGCTGAGTTGGTAGAGTACTTGCCTGGTAGCTTGAGGATGTGAGTTCAATCCCTAGAGTCCATATTACACACACACACACACACACACACACACACACACACACACACACAATCCAGGCATAGTGATACATGCTTGTCGTTCTAGATAGAGCTGGGGAGGGAGATAAAGGTGGATCTCTGGGACCAGCTTAGTCTATTTGGTCAACCCCAGGCCACAGAGAAATGATGTATCAAGGTAGATGGTGTTTGAAGAACAAGAGCTGAGGTTGTCCTCTGACCTCCACACACATGTGTACCTGCACACACATGGATATACACGAATACACAATACAACAAAAGGACATTAAACATATTTATCTTTTTAGAATATCTATTGTTAGCCAAGGGAGTTGCCCTGTTTTCTCCGGAGGTAGTTTGTTCTCATCAATGAAGGTTCTTTTGCTTTGGACACTTAAGTAGGGGAGCATCTGGAATGTTCATCCCCACGTTACAGATAAGGAAGTTGGCTCTCAGAAGGGCAAGGTGTGCAGACAGACAGGTCCCTCTCCGTGTCTTCTCATTCCTCCTCTGTTCTGACTCCAGTCAGGGCTAGGATGGGAGAGGCGGAGCTAGTGACAGGGGTCATGAGATCTTTGACCAGAAAAGGAGCTGGGGTGGCAATCACAGAGGGATTAATGTTTCAGGCAGATGGAAAGATGTGCACATGGTAGAAGCCTTCCCATCTAGCACAGGTAGATGAGGGGTGGATCTTTGTATTTTAGTGTATAGCAGTGACTCGGGATAGAACATCAACTACAGTTTTGTGTTTGAGATAAAAAAAAAAGTATATTGATTTATTGAGGATTTTCATTGAAGAACAAGCTGCATATGGGCATGCAGTGTTTTTATTTCTTCTTTCTTGTGGTGACAGAAAAATCAACTGAAGGAAGGGAGGGGTTTAGGAAGGTTCACAGTTTGAGGGCATATTCCATCATAGCGGTGAAGGCATAGAGGAAGGCGTGTGACGTAGCTGGCCACATTGTATACATTGTCAGAAAGCAGGGAGAGCAAGCATCCAGCCTGCTTCCTTCTTTGTATCCAGTCTGGGTCCCCAGCCTGTGGAATGCTGTGGCCCATATTCAAGGTAGGTCTCCCCTCCCTAGTTAAAACATCTCTGAAAATCCTCACACAGACATGTCTAGAGATGTGTTTCCTAGGTGATTTTCAATCTAGTCAAGTTGACAATAAGGTTAATCATCTCCATCATCCCCTCCTCCTCTTTTTCGGCGTCTTCAATTTGGCTTTCTCGGGAACGAAGCAGATCTTTCTCTTCATAGCTGATCAGCTTGTTTAAGAATTAATGACATTATTTTACAACGATGGTGAACACAGCAGCTATAAATAGGTCGGGACACAAATACAATCTGCTATTGCAAAATCCATAATCGTCCAGAAGATAGGGGACCCCCTACTCACACGTCACAGGCTGCCAACCCAGGCAGCAACCCTGGACCCACGAACAGGTTTTTGCAGAGAGAATAGGTCAATAGCTGTTCTGACAAATAGATTAATAGGACTGAATGAGAAGAACATGTATTCAGTTCACACTGGTGTTTGACAAACACATGAACACAATACTTGTGTGGAAATGATTTTGCTTTTATGGTTCTTCTTTTCTTTTTTCCTGGCCCAACCTTTTCAAAAGACTGGTTCTAATTTGAACTGGTTCAGTAGGATTTGAAAAACAACAACACTGATACTGTTTTCAGGGCAGTAAAAAAATTAATACTTGGGTCGGGTTTGGAGTTCAGTTAATTAGTGTCCATTTTGGTTGGTGAGTCATATTATCCTGGTCCACATTACTCCTCCCTGTGAGAAGTGATTCAAAATCAGTTCTTGTCTTCTAGTTCAGAGTCTAAAAATGCCTCACGTTTCTTTTGTCTTGAGCTGTCTGTATTCTAAGCAGTTCTAGTGTGCCACTCATTAGACACCCCAAAACCACTAACAGGCAAGTGACCCTAAGCCCACCGAAGCTGACAGTGGCTGGTACTTTATTGTATAGGTGTCCCACATACATCATTCTCATCTAGGTGCTCACAAAACAGACAGCTCCTCCCAGCTGTGGGCCTCTTTTGCTGGGAAGAGGCCCAGACCCCTCCAGAAACTTTGTAAACTTTCCAGGAACCGGCCCTAATTTGAGTTTCCCTGATTTCTTTGGTTTGTACTTATTTCTCTGATTCTCCTCTCCTTCCGTGGGGAGTCATCATTGGCTGAACATGTTTTGAACTCAGGGAGTTGGTTGCTTTAAAAACAGAAGGTATCAGTGTCTTTATTTTAGTTACAAAGAAGCCATGGAATGTTCTCTTCAGAGCCTCAGATACCATCCCTTAGGCGTGTGAGGATGGAAGTCTGAGGACCAATCAGCAAAGGCCCATCCTTTCTGTTACACACTGGACAAAGTTGCTGATGTCCACAAGTAAAATAGTGCGTCATACATTTAATTAATGCAAATGAAATTTATTTATGCAAATTAAATTCTCCCTGTGTGTGCACATGTATGTTGGTATACAGAATGTTGATGTGCTTCTCCAGAGTCCATATACTAGAGTCTTGGTCTGTAGTGTGGCTTGATGACCTGTTGGGATTTTGAGAAGGTGCCTAGTGGATTGGATCACAGGGGACTGTCTTGTAAGGACTAAGGCTTATCATTCTCACCAGGAGTCCAGAGTGACCAGATTGCGGTAAGCTAGACTGGCATCTACTTCTTGGCTCACACACGCACGCCCCTCCTGTATGTTCCTGGATTCCTTTCTACATCTCCTCCATGTTGTGATACAACCCCATGGCACTTACTGGGCTCCAACAGAGTACTGCCTGATCATAGAATTGAGATTTCTGGATTGTAGATTAAAAGGAAATCCTGCCACGTGGGATGAAAAGACAGTCAGTGGCAACTGCTGGACACTGTGATTTTTCGCGATTCTTATGACTAGAAATTTCTCACCTACTCTCTCGCCCCATTGTGTTGTTTTCCAGATGTCAGCCTTCGCCTCCTAGCAAGAACCATGTGGCACTGATGATAGCTGAAGACACTGTATAGACTCATTTCATGGAAACACAAGTGGATTTTGATCTGTTTATGCCTGCATGTGTATTGTGTATTTGCATATGTAGAGCCTGAGCATCGAGTATCGTTGTCTGAAATGTGTGGGACGACAGTTGTAAGTACCCAGCAGTAAGACCTGATCTGTAGGATCTACCAGTTCCCACACTGTAAATACCACAGCTTATTTCAAGATGCTGACGTGATGTCATGGAATGTGAGTTGGGGACAATAAACAATAGTACATTAGCCTCTAGAAGTCCTACCTCTCAAACACAGTGGGGGAAATGTGAGAGGTAGGCATGCATGGAAAGACTGCCTGGGACCTGCAAAGCTATTGAGAGAAATTTGGACAGTAGGGGCTAATGTCCCCAGAGCTTCTGATGAGTCTCCTTAGTTTTAGGGAGTGGACATCTGCTTGATTTGCCTGGGTCAGATCCCCACCCCCAAATTGCTTGCCCACAATGCCCCAAGAATCTCACTGGGGTAAGTGGCAGCATGGAGTGTCATCAGAACCTGAAGCAGAACTTCCTGGGAAAACGCATTCTGGGCTAACACAGGCATGGAGCAGTGTGCTATCCTCTTGTAACCTTGGAAGTGGGCTCAGGTGTATTCCCCAAGGTCTTGAATATTGGGGTGGCAGGAGGTAGCATTCCTCTGGTGACCCTGGAGGAATGGCAGGGTGGGGAAAGGCCTGTGCAGTGGAGGCCAAGACAGAGTGTTCTCTTCTCTTTCTGTTTCTGTTTTTTTAACATCCTCTCTTTCCATGGCCCCAGGTAGGTAGTTCCTCTCCTCCAACACTGAGAACACAGCAAGAAAGAGGCAGGGTCTAGGTAGAAGAGGAGTGTGAAAAAGAAAGAGAGAATTCCTTAGGTGGCCAGGGTACCAGAGGCTAGGGTGTGGGTGGCGATCCTTGGACAGAGCTGATAGTTTTCACTTAGTCAGACACGTAGGAACCCGCCCCGCTCATAAGTGGAGTGACTCTTCCGCAGTCACAGGGATGGGCGTTTGGATGCTTCATTCAGCCAAACTACAGACAAAAGCGCTTGTGAGCCCTGAGCTGGTGCAGTGGGGAGAGGCACAGGCTTTAGGGTCAGAAGGACTGGGGTGAAATTCCAGCCCTAACTTTGCCCTTGGATGACTTCGAGCAAATGACCTTGCTTTTCTGTCTTATTCATACTGATTCTACGGAACACCTCTCTCTCTCTCTTCTGTATGCAAATCGTGCCGATTCTGACTGGGGCTCTTCTCAATTCACTCTTTTGTTTCTCTGTCCTGATTCCTAAGAACTGACGGCTTTGTTTCTGTTTGGGGCCAAGTAGATTCAGTATGTTATGTTACTAGATTTGGTCCTGGAAAATAACTTTGTATGTGTAAAATCTCAGCTTTGACATGACTGTTAGGAAGGTATCGATGTTCACTTCTTGACTTGTGGGTCACCATTTTCTAAGTACTAAAAGGTCATTCCACCACGTGACATCTAGCCTCACACTGAATGTTTGGCTATTTGCTATAATGCTACTCAGGTGATTCCCAAAGGTCCAGACCTGATCATGTTCTTTGCACATGTAGACATCGCCTATGACTGGCAGTGTTCAAAAGATAAAGTCCTACCTTGGGAGAACATCCATTGCTCCTGGAGTCAACATAAAAACTCAGCAACCTTCCTGTAGCCTTGCCAGCCTGTCCTTCTTTTCAAACAGACATCTGTCCACTAAGGCTCCTTGGCCTTTCAACCCGCTAGAGACCACACCCATGAAGAAACTGTCCATGGGTCCTCAGTTTGGGATGTGGCTCATGTGCTGCTCCCCCATCTCTGCTGGAATGTTGAGTGCCTTGATCGTTCGTGTGCAGACCTTATGCAGGCAACCACAGCTGCTGTGAGCTCAGGAGGGCAATTTTGATGTCACGCTCAGAAGACACTGTTTTCCCTCAGTGGCTCCTACAATCTTTCCATCTCCTTGTCTGGGATGTTCCCTGAGCCTTGGCCTTGGCGGGAGGGTGTGTGACACAGATGTCCCATTTATGTCTGAGTGCTCCACAGACACTTATTTATTCTCTGCATTTGATCTATCTGCTTTTCTTAGTGTTCTTAAAATATTCCGTGCACTATGGAGGCATCTGTTTTCAATACTGGTTTGGAAATATACTAGGTAAGAAACAGCCCATATCTTCTTACCTTTGGTTCAGTGGAACCCACCACAGTGAATGGAAGATAGAAGATAAGCAGGTGAAGGATGACTGACTCATCCTCATACACATCCTTCAGGTTCCTCTTCTGAGAAACACGGTCAGTAGCACGATCTCTGCAGTCATCTAGTTTGGGATATGAATCCTAATCCTGTTGCTTACAAATGGGCTTTAGCTGGGTTATTTAACATCTTAGTTTCTTCAAGTCATATACGGAAGTCACACTAACCTCATACGGTTATGGATTAAGTATGAAATTGTGGTACTTAGCAATGCCAGACATAGCTCTCATCCAGCGGAGGACAGCTGTGAGGGCTTGCCCAAGGTGTGCAAGTTACCTTGACAGTCTATGCTTGGCCCCATGAGGCTATAAGACCAGTATCTCGGAACAGAGACTCTATTATCACAGAATCAATCCACCTGAGAAGCAGGGCATTGACTGTGATCCTGTGGGCACTTAGCTTAGTGTTTGTATTAGTAACTGTATTTGAAGATCAGAAGGAAGACTCAAGTGAGCCCTGTGTCTTGAAAAGCAAGGAAACCCAACTGAACCAGGAACAGTCAGTGCGTTTTACTTCTAGTATTGCACATAGGCAGGTCTTCTCTTTCCTCGATGCTGGCCTTGACTGCCATCCCTGGAGACTGTTAATCAGTGTCACTGTTTGCAATTCCCCAGTACATTTGAGTTTCACAAACTCTGTGTTTTCCTAGCAAGAGTTCAAGCTCATCAAGCCAGTTTGGAAAAGCAGCTGATGGAGGCACAAACCATGACTGTAATTAACAGAAAGACTTTGACCGAATACACAGAAGGGAGATGAACAAACCGTTTAATCTTGTCTTTACTGCGCTTTAGCCATTTAATCTCTGCTTTGGCTCGATACATCTGGGAGGCATATAATTTCCTAAACATTTTATTATGAATGTTCAGGGTTTTTATCACCAACTGCTGATTTCATATGTGCTTAGAAAGCACTCACTTACAGCGCTAAAGGAAGATAGAGAGGCAGTTTAGGTTCTTGCTAGGCCAGCATTCAAGGTGAACTGCTCAAGCATTTGGAGGAGGCTGCCGTTGACTTCAACTATTTGGCCTTGGGGTACCTTACGGTGCCCGCCGAGGGCACAAAGCAGGAGGTGAAGGGTTTCGTGTAAAAGCCCCATTTGTGCATTTGATGTGTTGCGTTGAAGAATCCTGAGGACGTGGCCTTTGCCCGAATTCCTGTTGCTCTGGCTTGACTCAGTGCAAAAGAGCCACCAGCAGCTTCTGGAAATCCCCAGAGGTGTCCGAGCGAACCATGTCCGAGAGAGACTTCTGATACTTCTCCTGGAACTTGGCTTTTATCCCCTGAAGGTCTACCTGTAGGAATAAAGACAACGGCGTGGGCGATAACACCGATGGTGTGGTTGTCGTAAAAGGCAGGCCCTCTCCTAAGCCAGCATGCTCATTTATTGTAGCTTTAAACAGCCCTCGGGGGCTGAGCTGGCATTATTTACATCTTGAGGATAAGAAAAGCAAAGCCTACTTCAGCTTCCAAAAGTAAAAGTGTCATACGTGTATTCCATTAAAATTTTATCTATCGAAGCTAAAATTTAAATTGCATATATTCTCATGTGTTACAAAATAGTTTGCTTTTGAATTTTTCGTAGGTCTTTGAGAAGGAGTCATTCTTGGGTAGCAGAGCTCTACACATGCAGGTAGGAGGTGGGGCCCATTTGCTGACAGTATCTGGTAGAAGGGTAAGAAGATTTTCTGGATAGAGATTTGAAATTGAGCATTGCAGGCGGGAAAGATGGCTCAGCAGTTACGAGCACTGGTTGCTCTTCCAAAGGACCCAGGTTCAATTCCCAGCACCCACATGGTGGCTCACAACTATCTGTAACTCCAGTTACAAGGGATCCTGTGCCTTCTGGCTTCCCTGGGCATCAGGAAGGATAATAGTTCCAGGTGACATGTTTTAAGCCAATCACCGTTTGTAGGGCTTATTTTGAGTCTAATTCGTAGAAAGCTTAAGGCCTGAAGGAAGAGAGGAGGAAAATACTCCAAAGATTGTGCTGTTTCAGACTCCTTCAGCTGTAAAAGTGGGAGCTACACCAGGAAAAAACAAAACAAAACAAAACAAAACACTCCAGTCGGGACAAAACAAGTCCTGCAAAGAAACAAAGTTTGGTTTGCCGTGTTTGGGTTTTGGTTTGAACTCTGCCTTACACTCCAGACCTAGGAACTGGAGACAACCGTCGGAGTCCCTTCTCTTGCTCCAGTGAGAGGCTGGGCTGAGACAGAGAGAAGGAAAGCTAGGCGAGGCCAGGGAGGAAGGGGGTGTTTGGAGAGGATGCTGATCTCCAGTGAGACTGCTGGAGGGCAGATGCTGTGAGTGACCCTGCTGCTCTGCTTGGGTGTCCTCTGCCTGGCTGGATGCCCAGCCCTACGGGAGGGGTAGGATGGGTGGAGTACAGGATTGGGGCGGCTGGCATTTTGTTTTAGTGCATATGGAAGATTAGCAGATCTCCTAAACATATATGTGCCTGGGCCTGAAGCATTCCAAAGAGACTGGCCCCAGGTGGAGATTACCCACACTCGCATGGGGTCCGTTCTGAGGTGGGATTGAACATCCCATGGTCTATATGCAAGTGAGCCAGAATGCCGACAAGCCTTCTGCTGGAATCCAGTCTCTCCAAGAGCCAATAGAACCCTGCTTCTCTCAAGACTTCTCTGCAACTTCGGCTAGGGGCTGTGTTGCTGAGAGCTGGAGCGATAAAGAAGGCAAGGCCCCTGAAAAACAGAGAGAGAGAGAGACAGACAGACAGACAGACAGACAGACAGACAGACTCACACCAGAGGAGAGAGTGCAAACTCCAGAGGAGGAACAGAGAGGCGGCTCACAGGAGTAAGGGGGTGGGGGGAGGGCACGGAGGAGGAAGAGGGGGAGGCAAAATTCCAGGAACAGAAATAAAAAGGAAAGAACTGCCTTGCTGTGGAGCTATATTTAAAAACAACGTCAGATGTTAAGTGTTTGTCGAAAGACGTGGATCAGAATTTGGGCTGGTACCTCTCCCTCTCCGCTGAACAAATTTTTTGAAAGATGTCTGTGGTTTTTAGCTCTTTAGCTGCCTTCATTCTCCAAGGTTCCTTCCGCGGCAGTGACACCCCTGCCACTTCTCCTTTATTTCACATCCCAGTCTGACCAAGGCGCTCACTGTCAAGCCTGGTGGCTGCTTCTGGCTACATCTTCCCCTCTCTTTCTGACACTCACATTCTTCTCTGAGATGGGGTGCAAACTGGTCCTTAGGGGGTAAAAGAAGCCCATTCTTTTTATGTGTAAGGCATTCATATGCATGTGGTGCGTAAACAGACAGTCAGCATTATCTGTGCTGTTAAATTTGGGGGCGGGGGAGAGATGGTAATTAGACATAAGTCTGTCTAAAATGACCCTTTGAGAGGGCCAGGATTGAGAACAAGACCAAGAAACTGTTCTATTGTTTTGTTTTTGCTTTTTCTTGTTGTTTTATTTTGTCTTGTCTTTCTCTGAGAAACGGTACTTCTAAGGTGTGCTCTGTTAAATAAAAGGACTGAGGACATCACTTGCGCATTATCTCCGTCTTGCTGAATGATGACCCCTTCCCGTGTCTCTGGCTTGTCTTCCCTAAAATAGAGCAGGGCGTAGCCACGCTACCTTGGAACAACTCCACCAGTTCCCCTTTACACAGCGCCACCAGCCCTCTGGAGCCACAGATGACAAAAATAGAAGCAACTCTTATTATTGTATTTTAATAAAAAGGAGAGGACTGAAGCAGAGTCCAACATGTTCTGCATATTCTGGGAAGGGAAGGGCTGTCTTTGTCTTACATTTTTGATAAGTAGTCCCATCATCAATCATCATCATCATCATTATCACCATCATATGATTTGCCAACGACATGAACTGGGGAAAAGAAACTGAAGTCCCCTTTGTGGAGTCCAGTGTATCTTACCTCAGCCCTGGTCACAATGATGCGAATGAGCGTCTCCTCGTCTGTCCCCATCCCCTTCATGGCCTTGTACAGTAGGTCAGCAAAATAGCCCTCGAGGTCCTGGGCACATCTCACTGGGAGGGAGAGAAAGGAGGATGTGAAATGTTCTCATGGTTTGTCCAACAACCCAGGGACCCTGCACAGGCACAGAGTGTCCCGGCTGTCCGTGGGCCTTCTGGACGTGACAGGCAGAGGTTTGGAAAGACCTGACTTTACACTATTGTGAAATGAGATCTAGAAGTTTCCCTGGGTCAGTGTAGCATGGCTTTCCAACCAGAGCTGAGTCCAATCCACTGCAGAATGAGGAGAATGGCCTCTATTCTCTGCAAGCTCTGGGAAAGGAGAGTGGCCCCCCTCACCCTCATACTGTGGAGGTCTGGAGTCTCACTCATGGAGGCACTCACGTGCTATTCAGGGAAACCTCTGGGGCTAAAGCGGGGCTCTGTGGGAAACACAGCGTGGCCAGCAGCCTTCCACAATAGAACCTTATTATCTAGAAGGTTTGCTCAGCTGGACCACGCCCTGCTTTCTGGGTTCGGCAACCTCTGCACCCTTTGTTTTCCTGACTGCATTTGTTTGGGCATCTTTTGTATGATCCCCTGCAGGTCCCCAGCATCTTTCATCTGGTCCATGAGATAAAGATGTTTGTCCCCACTCCTAAAGATCCCCTCTTTATTTTCTGCTGTGCACTCCTTTCTGCTCCACCCTAGCCTGCCAGCTTTGATGTTTGCAAACTGATGAGGCTCAGTGTTTGCTCATCAACCAGGCAATAGGGTGAACCTCCACACTGCATGTAAGTGTATGTTGGCTAGTTTTATGTCAACTTGACCCAGGCTGGTGTCATCTGAGAGGAGGGAAACTCAATGAAGAAAGCGCCTCCATAAGATCAGGTTGTTGGCAAGCCTTTGGGGCATTTTCTTAATTAGTAATTGATGTGAGAGAGCCCATCCCATTGTGAGTGGTGCTATCCCTGGGCTGGAGGTCCCATAGGATGGGAAAGCAGGCTGAGCAAGCCAGGGGAAGCAAGCCAATAAGCAGCACCCCTCCATGGCCTCTGCATCAGCTCCTGCCTCCAGGTTCCTGCCCTGCTTGAGTTCCTGTCCTGATCCCTTTGATGATGGACTGTAATATGGGACTGTAAGCCAAATAAACCCTTTCCTCCCCAAGTTGCTTTGGTTTTGGTATTTCATCACAGCAATAGAAACCCTAACTAAAGCAGGAAGGAAGCATTTCTCACCCCTCCTCCCAGGCTCATAGGCATCCCCCACTACAAAGGCTTAAGAAGAACGAACCACTTACTCCCTAGGTTGCTGACATTTTCCTAGAAAGCTTACCAGTATTTGGGTTCTTTAAAATTAGTTTTCTGGTTTTTTTTATTGTTGTTTTGTTTTTGTTTCTTTTTCTTTTTTCTTTTCTTTCTCTCTCTTTTTTTTTTAGACAGGGTTTTGGTCTATAGCCTAGGCTAGCCTCAAACTCAAGAATCTTCCTGCCTCAGATAGGAGTTACAGTGCTAGAATTATAGCAATTTTCCAAAGTTAGTGATATTAATAAATTCAGGATAAGCCTGGAATGTGAGCCTTGATCTGTACTGGAGCAGTGATTTCATTTCCTAGGTTGCTACCTGTGTGGCTGATGTTTCTGGGTAAGAGAGAGGAGCAGAACCTAGGTTGGGAGCTAATTTCTTTTTTTTTTTTTTTCCTCAGTCCGTACAGCAGCCACCTAAGTTTCAGTGGGAACCTGGAGGGCCAGGTGTTTGGTCTCTTTATCCTAAGAACAGTTCCCAAATTCCTGGTTTGAGGTGGGTGGGAAGCCGGGTGCTACTCTGACAAGTGCATACTTGAGACTCGCTGGGGTCCCCAGGCTATTGGAGCTGCTGGCATCCACAAAGTTTTTCTATGCTGCATAGCACTAATGGATGTCCAAGGTCATCTCTCTGTTAATAGCGAGTAGCAGGACTCCCTCAAAAGGTTGGGCCATGACAGCCAGGGAATATCGGAATATCGCTAATAAAAATGTTTATGTTGAGTGGAAGCCGTGACAGCCGTGGCTCTCCATACTTTGATCCTCTTGCCTTCAAAGAGCAGGGCTTCGTAAACCTAACTGAGCACAAAACCATCAGGGGGGAGCTTGGGACAGTGGCTTTCCAGGCTCCATCCCGTTTCTGGTTTCTCTGTGGTAAACCTGGGGTGGGGTCCAGGAAACTTTCCTCAAAGGGGATTTTGAGGCAGGTGGTTCATGGCCCTATGGAAGAAGTGTATGTGGTGGTGATCACGGGATCTCAGCCCCTCTACATTTGTGTGGTCAAGTGATGTCTTTACAAGGTAAGTGGAGTAGGGTTAGGGATATCGAGAAAACAGCCATGAAGCTGTATGCTTTGTGAGGTGGATGTGCAAGGTCTTATCTAATCACTTTTACTTTTGGAACCACAAGACTATCAGCTCCTGTGGTTCACAGCGCCCACTTTTTCCTTCCTCTTCACCATCCTTGTTGTCTGTTTTCTGTCTTTCTTCACTGTTACTTAATATATTTATTTGTGCTTGTCTTTTGTGGACATTCTGCTCCTCACAAGCAAGAACTGGGTCTTTCATGCCTCTGATCCCACACTGAGAACAACTCAGGAAAGTGCTGTCCCGGAATGGTGGCACTGGTGTCTTCTGACTGTACTCTGGGGTCTTTCTGGTTCTCATGCCACAAGTTCAGGGAAGGTCTGGACCCTCGGATCTAGTCACCACTAGCCAATAACTAGCATTCTATCCATTTGGGAGCTCCTTCATGAAGCCCAAAGGACAGCTGTTCGCACAGGGCCCATGTGTGTTCAGTTGGGGCATGAGTAGTGTGGGTAACATTTGGAGTTCTGTACATCAGATTAATGTTTGTTAATCTGAATGTAAAATGAACACAGTGGGACATTGTTTAAAATAAAACACATACCAAAAAAATGCTCCCAACTCCACAAAGGGGTTTGGCAATGGGAGCACATTTTTTGGGGTTCCAGGGCTACTAGTTTGGTTCTTTTTCTTCTGGAGGGACACGTCTCTCCATTCCTGTGCCATTTGGGATGGTTCCCTGGACTCTCTACCACAGCAATGTGGATAATGGGCAGTGTCTTCATTCCGGGACTTACAAAAAGGAAAACAGAGCATGCCAGATATGGCCCCATGCCCATCTCTCTGCTATTTCCTGCCTTTGGGCAACACCTGAAGAGAAGGTCCTGGGGTTGGCTTGGCATGGCCAAGATCTAGCCCCCGCCCCCCTCTGTTTCTAAACAGACCTCATTCTTTGAGAACACTGAAGGGAATCCAGTGGGAAAAGGAAACCCTTTGGCCATCGGGCATGTGCAAAAACTTGTCCATAGGTCCTATCTGTGGGTACTTTTCAGTGTGTGTTATATAAACTGTCATCACACTGCTACCTGAGCTTAGGTAATAGTCCTGGGCTTTGACAGATGCTCTCTGAGACCCACACTCTCAGTACAACCACAGGAGATGCTGTGATGGACCACTTAGATGCTCTCTTTAGGATCAGGCACTCAGTGCCAGGGGTGCTTGCTGACTGCTAACAGCTGGGTCCCATCTCAGAAGTCACCTTCCAAGCAAGAGAGCTGACTGCTCAGTGTTGCCAATGGTCCTGCGGGTACAGACCGTGTCCAGTGACTGGTTGGTGTACAGTCATTAACAGAGTGCGGAGACTTGGCTCCTTGCCTCACTTTGGACACCCACCTTCAGAGCTCCCTGGAGAATAAAACTCCATCCCATCCACCTCCGGCCTTGCCCCGTGCTGCTTAGATGTGCTGCTTCCGAAATGACTCCTGTAAGGAGACCACTATCTCTCAGCATGGTTCCAGGGAACCCACCCTGGGGCAGCACTCCCCTAATTTTACTTTACCTATAGTTAAATAGGCCTTCTTCAAGTCTCCCGATGTCTCTTCTTCGATGGCTTCTTCCATGGCTTTGCCAATGAGCTGGAAAGACAAACAAAACCCAGCTATTACTCCAGGGTTGCTCTGGCCTCAGCATCCTTCAGCTTCCTTCAGAAGAAGTGCTGCACTGTTCCAGACTTAGTGCTGTGCCCTAAGGGTGCCTATCCTGCCTCTTGCATTGCAAGGTAGGATGGTTGCCCCACCCCATTCAAGGGTGGGGGCTCTCACTGCTGAGGAGTTGACCAAGTTGACCCCAGTCAAGGCCACTTCTTCAGCTTCCATTTTCTCATCTGTAAAATTAGAGAGTAGAGGGATAATGGATGCATACTACAAGAATATTTTTTGTGTATGTGTGTGCCTGTGTGCATTTATGAGAGAGAGAGATAGGGGAGCACACCCATTCACAGACAGTGTGTGTGCAGAGGCCAGTGGAGGACGACTGATGCCCTATCTCCACCTTATTATATATCTCTCCACCTTATTCCTTTGAGACAGAGTCTCTTACTGAATGTAGAGTTAGGTTGGCAGGCAGCAAGCCCAGGTGATCCTTCTGTCTCTCCTCCTACCCCCACCGTAACTCTGGGGTTACGGGTACTTGTGGCCACTCCTGGTGGTTTTTTAAGTGGATATAAGACTCAAACTCAGATTCTCGTGCTTGCTCATCAAGAGCTCTTATCTATTGAGCCATATCCTCAGCCTGCCACAATAATTCTTTGCATGCTGTAGCATTATGTTTTCTACTTTTCCCATGGCAAGTTCCTGGGGGAAGCTGTGGTTGAAACTCTGGCCTATGTCTCCTTCTTCTCACCTGTCTTGGGACTGGAGACTCAGTCACTCACAGTTTGGGTAAAGGAAGGAGAGAGACTGTGAAGTTCTTGATGAAACTTGATCTAATGGTTCATAACAGAATGGGGCTTCAAGGGCTGGAAGCCAGGGGCTGACCACATCAAAATGCCACTTTCCTTTACTGCTGGGTGATTGCTAATGGTCTTATACATTCACCACTGGCTCACGTCGCTTGGCCCAGTGTTACACGTTAGGTTTCTTTCCAAATATTTACAGAAACTAAAGTTAAAGTAAATTGTGCCTATCCTTAACACAAACACTGTAGGGCCAAGCTCAGAGAAGGCAAATAGAGAGAAAGGAATATGCTCTGCTGAGTTCGAGGGCTTTTGTCTCTTTCTTAGAAATTGTCTTTTGAAGACAGGACACAATTGATCCTAAAAAATAATTGAGACATTTGAGCACACACTGATAGATTTGGGGGGTTTTATTGGAAAAACAAAGGCAAACCAAACATTCTTTGTGATGTAAGGACAATAGTTGTGTGGGGGTGGGTGGAGGAGAGATTTAGCAAAGCTCTTCCCACCATTCACATCTCTAGAGGTCTTTTGTGATGCAGAGGACACCAGATCAGAAGGGGACGGGAGCTTTCGAGCTCCCCTCCCTGGGCTGCTAACCACCCATCTAGGGTTTGATGTGGGAGTCAGTGCTTTGGAGGGAGGGCTATCGCTTTCCCGGAAACTGGGCTCTTATTGTGAAGACCGAGATTGTATTTCATGAGGATGTTTTGTTCACACAGGTCTGGGTTTAAAAAGCAAAAAAACCCACATTAAGCCACTTTTTGTTTCTATTGTGAGGACGGAGCCAGAATGGTGGCTTTCAATTTTCTGTAGTAGACTCTCAGCCTCCAGAGCGGACAAAAGTGTCCGGAGTGCAGTTCTAAAGAGGCGGAGGTGGGTTTCTTACCTGAGTTCTAGGCATCAATGCCATGCTCTGACCTCTAGGGGGCGATACTCACACAATGCCTTTCTTCCTGCCTCACCCCATATTTGCTGCTCCCCAGGTAGGGACCTGTGTGGACTCCATGAACATAATCTTGAAGACAGTAGGCTGGTCCATGCTATTGGGACCCTCCTTTGCAAGCTTTGCATATCAGTTCTTGGAACACCTGGTTCTTAAGGTGCTCTTTGGGTGAATCTAGGTTTTCCGATCTTAACACCAAAGCAGTCTCAGGTAGATAAATGGGCGATAGTGCCTGTATGGAGCTTACAGGAAGAGTGGAGGACACATGTTCTTCTTGTCAAATGTGTTCCCCCAAAGTGACAGTGTGCCCGCAGTGAAAGGGCCAAAGCCTCTTGTGTGGACTTAGGGATATGTATGTGACGACGCTGACTAGTGAGGTACGTAACATAGAGGCCGCAAGGCTGTGCTGTGGGCGTGTGCATGTTCTGTTCTTACTGATCCCTGCTTGCAGAACTCACTGTGGCTCTGTAACTGTGTAAGTCTTTTGTGCTTAATGAAACCAGGACCGTGATTGTTTTGCACAGTGTGGCAGTTTGAGAGACTCTGTTGCTTGACCTGGAATCGTGGAGGGAGTCAGAAGTTAAGACTTGGGCTTAGAGGAGGTAGCAAAGGGTAAACCCCTGAGCTGTAGTGCCGAAGATCAAATCCACCTCTACTCCAGGACAGCTTACTGCGTAACGCTCCAGTGGTCACACACTAGTATTTGTGTGCTTTTGGCCCGTGACTTACAGGGCCTGGTTTCTAACAGCAGGGTAAGTGCTTAAAGAAAAATAGCAGCAAAGCTCATCAACAGTCGATCTAGAGCTACTTTCCTATAAATGATCATGAAATCAGATGGTTCCCTAATCTGTCCGTTGTCACTGTTGGTTACAAAGGAAAGCAACTAACAATTGCTGGTGTTTATTGAACACCGACCACATCCAGGCACTAAGTGCTCTGGTTCATTCATTCAACCCTTACGAATCCTAATCCTACCTAATGCAATCTAAATCCTGTAGGTAGTATTAACTCTCTATTTTACAACCGAGGAAACCAAGGCACAGAGCCCCAATAAGCCTTGAGCCGACTTCTCAAACCTCAGCATGTGTCAGATTCAAGACCCGGACCCAAGGAAATGTGGTTCAGTAGGACCAAAGAGAGGACTGAGAATTTTCATTTCAGTGGGTTCTTAAGGGATAATTGTTTATCGCTGTTTGGGGATGAACTTTGTGGTAATGGCCTAGATCCTAGCCGCTTGTTTTTAGTAGTTTATTGAGGTAGTTACTAGTTCATGGAGACAGAGAGAGAGAGAGAGAGAGACAGAGACATAGACAGAGACAGAGAGACAGAGAGAGACAGAGAGACAGAGAGAGAGACAGAGAGAGACAGAGAGAGAGACAGAGACAGAGAGACAGAGAGAGAGAGAGATTCTAGTGATCTCCAATGTCAGCCATCCTCAGAAACTCCATCTGTGGCCCTTGTGACGTGGAAAGAGGACATAGATCACATATAAGTCCTCCAGCTCAGTGACCACGGGCTTCAGGCATGGAGAATGGGGGAGGATGGGGTCAGCTGCCTTTGATCATGACACTGGGCACGATTTGAAAGCAGGAGGCCCTTAATGCTGACATACAGTAAGGCTACAATCCCAAAGCTTTGTCTTTTCATCTGGGGCCGCACACACGCGAGGCTATTTTGAGTGAGGAGCAGCCAGCTCCAGCCGGCCAAGGTAGAGCTCAGCTGGGGAGTCCTGGAGTCCTCGTCCACTTTCTGCTACCGACTTGCTGTGTGGTCCTGATAAGTTACAGATGGCTCCTTGCTCTGCAGACTGGCCCTGTCCAGCCGTTGTGGGCCACCATCAAATAACCATTCAGCCCATGCGATAGTTCTGATACTGTTGTGAAATTGAAATCAGGTGCAGAGCACAGAAATGTTTTTGAAGAGGTGAAAGCATTCCCCCAGAAACAAAACAGAAGACAAAAGAAATCTAAAACTCCCTGTAATCTTTTTGCCAATTAAAGATTTTCTCTCAGAAAAGGACTTAATCACTAAGTACCTTGGAACAGCCAGCTCATTTTGTTGGCTCATGGCGACCATGAGATTAAAAACATAATTTATGCATGTTTTTCTCAGGAGCCTTTTTCTGAGGTATAGCACATCAGTCCTGTGAGGCCGACGGTAAATTGTAATCGTAAAAATGAAAGCAAACACTTGTATGCTTGCCTCATGCCAGATATGGTCCTGAGCCTGCATCTGTTCCCACACTTGAGATGACTCTGTGGGGATGATGATGCCCATGGTCTCTGTCTCACAAAGGAGGAGGGGGAGGTTAGTCGTTGACTATTGGTAGATCCAGGATTCGCACATGGACCCTCTGAGTCTAGAGCTTTGCTCCTAAACATGACATTTCTCTGCTGCCCTAGCTCTTCTGTAACCTGGAATATCCCAACCACAGCTCCACAATCGGGGCTGGTCAATTCTGCACAGTTGAGCTGTTCTGTGTGTGTTTAGCAGTACCCTGGGCCTTCCTTCTCCTACCACTGAGAACCACTGATGTAAACGACCCCATCCCCAACGCTCAGTCCTACATCCCAGAGCTTGGCCTCCTTTAGAAATAGCTCAGGACCATGCCAGAAGGAGCCCTTGAGCCTCAGGGCTTCACTACTTACGATCTGATATGCTTGAAAGGTAGCACGCAACTGCTTGTAGCTCCTCTTGGCCAGGACCTCATTGAAGGCAAGCTCGTCCGTACCCCAACGGCCTTCCCCTGCCTGAAGGGCCAAGTGCCGACAGTGTGAAAAGAAACCATGTGAGAAGACTGGACAGAAATTGCTGCTGACACTGGGCAGGCAAGCACTCACATATAACGTAGTGGAGAAGGCTACCACTGCCATGTCACATACAATGGCTATGTCTCCTGACTGTCAGAATGCCACTCGGTGGTTGAACACCCTTGAATCCGTAGTTAGGTTGTTCTCAACATATCAGAAACCGCTTTCGCTACTGCTACACACGCACGCCAACTAAAGGCCTGTGTCCTCCAAAGCCCCTGACGTTATTACAATATCACTTACAGTGTGGTTTTTCACTCTCTACCTTGTGGGCTTTTCTAGAGGCTCATGAGAAGAAATACCCTAAAAGAGAGATCTGGTCCATCATGATATGAGAGAGAAAAGTCACTATCTCATCCCAAGAGTGTGCCACCCATCTCATAAATACTCAACAAAACACTCTTAAAACCTGCGAAGCAGACCCCACTTGGGGTATTCTTTTGGGGGGAATCCCATTCTCTTTGGGGTACTTGCTTTATTAGTAAACTTCTGCATACACTATCTATGCCTTTCAGCCGGATTCTTTTCTTTAAGAAGGCAAGAACCAAGAGATGCCCTCATAAGACTGTGAGCAGGCCTCACATACAGATATGTACAAAACATGTAGGCAATAGAAGTCGAGTGGCAGATGAGTTCTTAAAGCTTCCAGCCCACAGTATACATGTATATAACAATACATATCTGCCTGCATTGTTATCTATTCCATCCTGTGTCCCAAAATGGATCACAGGTGGTTAACTCCGGAGTATAAGAACAGGAACAAGTCTTTATAATATGATCTAGGCAGATTGTAGCATATATTCACTTATCAAAGGACATATTTTATTCTACAGTAACTCTCATTAAGAAATGCCTGTTAAAACAATGCCAATAAGTGAAAAACCAAAAGAATGTGTGGAGGCAGGTGCATGCAAACACTTACATCATACAAGTCTTTGGCATCCTGACCAGCCAGATCTTTGTCCACGGTATCTTCTTCATCTCGACTGGCCTACAAAGATGCATGTATTGCCATTAACTTAAGTACCTGCTTGACCACAGAAAAGCCAATGAGCCGTGTGATAAGGGGTGAGTTTAGGGGAAAGGTCGGGGGGGGGGGGGGGGGGGGGGGGATGGCTGAAGCTTAGCTCAGTCTGGCAGAGTAGCAAGGACTGCTCTTTGCTGCCATCTTTTGGGAAAGACTGAAAACAGTCTAATTTCTGTGATTTCTCTCTCTCTGTGTCTCTCTCTGTGTCTCTCTGTCTCTCTCTCTCTCTCTCTCTCTCTCTCTCTCTCTCTCTCTCTCTCTCTCTCTCTCTCTCATACCCGACAATGGTAACTCACCAAATCTACAGTCTTCAGTGAGAGCTAATATAACTTCATATCCACTAGGAAGCAAGCATTCTGCCTCCCCAAATACCGCATTCAGTGGCCAATGCCAAAGAACTCTGAAAGTTGGTTGTGGGAGACTACGGCATCTAAAGAAAGCCCTGGGTGGGTGGGAGAGTGCTAAAATGACCCCAGTGACCTGACCCCTTTCCTTGGGTGTGGATGGAGCAGTAACGCAGATGAGATGGTATCTCATGATGACATCATGTCAGATAGCATGGCAGTGTTTGGCTTATGTAATCCATGTCTCTAATCAGGCAAATGAATCCAAAGGGAAATTATCCTGGGTGACCCTTGGCCCAATCAGATGAGAGTTCTTAAAGGTCAGAGGTGGAGGCCCTGGAGGAACTCTTGCTGCTGGCTTTGGAGAAAGCAGGCTGCTGGGCTGTAAGCTGTAGGGAGCAGGAGAAAGTCCCCGGAACTCACAATGGCCTCTGGGTGACAGCCAGCAGAGAACAGTCACATCAGGCAGAGGGCCCCAAGGAAACGAATTCTTCCAGAGCCTTGGGTGGCTGCCAGGCTGCCAGGTTGATTTCACCGTGATGAAACCCTCCGTGAAGGGCTCAGCTAACAGATATCTGGACCCTTGGCCCATGGGCATTGGTGGATAACGGGCCATGATGCATTGAGCTGTGATGTTTGGAGCAGGGAAATGTAAGGGGATTATCCAGTCTTCCTTCTGTGGTTGAAATCTACACACTCATGTTCTCGGCTGTCAGTATGCCCAAGTGGGAGCAGCGAAGTGGGGAGAGTGGACCGAGGTCTGTCAGTGAGAACTGGATGATGTCTGTCTGGAGCCTCAGGGGCCCATGTCACAGAAGATCTTAAAGACCCATTCTTCTGTTTATTCTCACCTGGAGCAGGGACACCAGAATCTTTCTTAGATTTCCACTTGTATCGTCTTTGACATCAGTTTCAAGGCTCTTGCCAAATACTTTTGAGGAAGAAAAAGGGAAAGAGGAAAGTGGATGACTGAGTTATCAGCAGTGTTAAAAACAAACAAAAATGAACAAACAAACAAACCCAAAACTTAGTCCAAAGCCAGAACAAAAATTACTTACACTTTTGGTAGGCTTCTTTGATGGCGACAATTTCCTAGGAAGATGGATGAAAAAATTAGTGTCCATGCCGGGAGTCAATAGGAAACAGAGATGAGGCAGAAGTTCGTCTCCAGATGCAGGAGGCCTTTGTGACTTTCTATTGAGATGGTTGTCCCTACAGAGCAGGGCACACAGGCCTGGAGAATCTGGTAGTGTAAAATGACCTTCTCTGTATAAGCATTTCAAACATGTAAGTAGTGTACGCATACAGTCTCCTTAGAAATGGAGACAACTTGGGGGACCAGTCACCAGACAAATGAAGACAATATAGTCTATTTATATTATGGGATAACATTCATCCATAAAAAGAAAGAAATTCTGTCATCTGAGATAACATGGTTGACTCTGGAGTACAGTGAATGAAATAATCTAGACACAGAAAATCACGCACCCCGTGAGCTCATTCATTTATGGAATATGGAAACGGTAACCTCATAGGTATGGAAAGTAGAATGGTGGTTACCAAAGACTGGGGAGCTAGGGGTCAGGGAGGGGTCAATGGTACTAAGTTACAGTGTGTGGTAGTTTGAATGAGACATGACCCCCGTAACTCAGGCATTTAAACACTTGGTCCCCAGTTGCTGGCTCTGTTTGTGGAGGCTGTGGGTAAGTACAGCCTTGCTGGAAGAAGCATGTCACTGGGAGAGGGCTTCGAGAGTTTACAGCCTCATGCTATACTGCTGTTGAATGCAACTGAAGATGTGATTGGTCAGCTTCCTGCTTGTGCTGCCATGACATCCTGCCGTGATGGGCTTTTTATCCCCCTGGAACCTTAAGTTACAATACCCCTTTCCTGCCATGAGTTGCTCTTGGTTTCGGTATTTTATCACAGCTACAGAAGCCCTGAGACGCAGTGAGGCGGGAGGGAGAAGTTCTAGTACGCACAGTGGGATGGTTGACGCTAACAAGAATGTATTGGCTATTTCAACACGGCTAGAAGAGAGGGCCTTGAATGTTCTCACCATAAAGGCAATGATGAATATTTAAGGTGAGGGATTCACTGGTTCTTCAAACTTGACCATGACGTTTTGTCTACGTGTATCAAAATAACACACCTTAGCCCAAACATAGCTACGACCATGACCAGCAGTTAGTAATCGGAAGGTAGAAATATGACAGCGGAGCTAGTGCTCTGCCTGGCTCCCAACCCAGTCTCATTCCCTCATCTCCACCCATGCAGCCAAGGTTAGAGTTCAGTGTGTATCTCTCTGTCCTGGATACGTGTATATATGCTTTCCTGTACTTCCTCCAAGCCAAACGTCAGCCATCTTTGTAAGCTCACCCACACCCACTTGCAAATGCTCATCAGAGCTCGGCCTGTTGACTGTTGACCTTCCCTCGTGGGATAAGGGGTGGAGAGGATCATGGGGTCCTTACCTAACTACACAGCCGCTCCTGCCAACCAGTTATGTGTCATTCTGCCCTCACTGTACCGGTGACATCAAGGGAGCTGCCTCTCCCTTGATGGGCATAGTGGGGTGGGCATCCATGCTGCGTGCAGACCTTCCAGTGTGGCTGTTTCAAGGCCACCCACACTCCTGCCTGTAACCCCCCCCCCCCCCCCCCCCCCCCCCCCCCCCCGCACTGTCTGCTCTCTAAGCAAGCCTAATAAACTCATTGGTTCCCCAGAGTGAATTCTGTGGAACTGTACTTTGGTTTGTCATTGGGACCTTAGCGGAAGGCGTTGTTCACATCTCCCCGAGGAAAGAAATTTTAGCAACAGAATTTCTAGAGTTATTTTGTATGCATCCTATGTTTAGACAGTGGAAAACAGGGCTTATTGTTTTTGTGGCTTGTTTTTAACTCCATGTTGCCTTGAAGGTTCGGCTACAATCAACTTTTTTTTTTTTTTTTTTTTTGGAAGAGACAGAAAGTGTCCCCTTAACTTGCTAACATAAGCCACAGTTGATTCAGCTAACCTCCCCCCGGGTGGCTGCTTCGGTGGTTTCCAGTTTGCCTCTGTTTTAAAACAACTTGCGGGGTCAGCAGTACAAGTTTCCCTCTAGAATGTGTACGGGCAGGAATCGTTTTACATCTGTGTGGAGTCTCCCACCTCAGAGCTGTCTCAACTTACACTTGAGCCAGCAGTGATTAAGAACAGGCATTTCCCGGTCGGTCCCCCCAGCTCGGAAGTGAGTTAGAAGGAAAGTCAGAGAGGAGCAGGTGTGGGGAGGGCACCAAGTGAGCAGGTGTGGGCTGCGGTGGGGGTGGGAGGGCAGGCCAGGTGGTAGGGCCAGCTCATTTGTTTATGCAGCTCCCTCCCCTTGGTGTTTTCCACCTAGCCAGCTCTCCCCACCTTCGTGTGTGTGTGTGTGTGTGTGTGTGTGTGTGTGTGTGTGTGTGTGTGTGTGTGTGTAATTCTTTTTACCGCCAGGTCTATTTGATTGAAAGAAAGGCTTTACTGGTTGCTTGGATCTTAGAGGAACCATGCTAAGATTAAGAAAACAATAATGAAAGGAACCATTTCATAAAAGCAGGTACTCCTTTCTCATGACATCGGGTGCTTCTTTGCAGGGACCTGGGCATCTCTGGGAAGGGTGGGCATGAACAGAGAAAATGGAGTGACTTCAAATGGGGTCTGTGCTAATCCTCCTCTGAGGTTCTACCCTAGCTCCTTGAGATGGAAGGGTTATAGGCTGAGGATTTAGCTCGTTGGTAGAGCATTGGCCTGGTAGGTGTGGGTTCTGAATTTAATTCCTAGCACCAAAAAGGAAAAAGAAATGGAGGGATTTTATTAACCCCAGAGTTTCAGAGGACTGGTGATTTCATCAGTGGCTTGGTTCATGGCGGTGCTGTGGGGACATGACTGAGCCTGAGTCTCCGTCAAGCAGGGGAAGCAGGTGGTCAGCAGGTCGTCGTTACATCAAAGCATGGTGGCAGGGCAGTGCTTCAAATTTTCCTTGTTATCTGTTCTACCCACAGCCACTGTTCCCTCCCGGGAGCTTCAGAATGTTGGGTTTTCTCTGGCACTTTCTTTGTCATGCCAACCCACTCTACTGGGAAGTTGTGGAGAAGGGCAGGTTCTCTAAGAATGATTTGGGGATCTTATTCTCGACCCTCCTGGCTTGGGAACCAAAGATGAGTTGGCTTGTGCCAGCACCTTAACAAATGTGTTGCACAGCTCCTAAAAGGGTGGTGTGTTCTCAAGGGTAAGTGGAGAGACTACTAATAGAAAGACCCAGGATCGGGCTTGGGGGTGTGGCTCAGTTGATAGAGTGCTTGTACGAAGCCCTCAGTTTGATCTCGAGTACCACATAAAACTGGGTTTGGTGATGTGTGCCTATAATCCCAACACTCAGGAGACAGAGGTAGCAGGATTAGGAGTTCAGGGTCATGCTTAGCTACATTTAGATGAGCCTCTGTCTCAAAACAAAACAAAACAAAAACAACAACAACAAAAGAAAAGAAAAAGCCAAAACAGCATCATCAAACCCCCCAAGCCCCAAACCCCAAAGAAAAACAATAAAAAACCCACTGACACAGAATTACCCAGGGAGATGCTAGTGGCCACTGGGGCCCCTCGCTGGAATCCCTGGAACCACCCACCTTTGCCCATTATTGAAGTTTTCTGCTCTATGCTAGGTGACAGCCATGTACGAGGCAGTGACACAAACATACTTAATGATATTCACAGCAGAAGGCCTACAAAGTCAGAGCAGGAACAGATAAAACAGAATCCTGCCTCCTGAAAACCACATCCATTAGAAAAACAAAACCTAGATTGATGCAGCTTTTCTGTCAAGCCAGGGCCAGCAACATGATGATGGACCTCCTGAGGACCAGAAGAGTTATTCTTCTTGCTTGAGCTTAGCAGACATATTTCTGCCCAGAATCTTATCCGCTTATGGATACCATGTAGGGGATGAGCTTCCTGGGGGGGGGGGGGCGGCACGTGGTTGGGGAGGCTCAGTCATCTCTGAGCAGGAGTGACCTGTCTCCTCCAGGAGCTGGAACCAAGGGCTCAAGCGAGACTGACCTTATTGCTCCTGGTGCACAGAATCTCTATGAGCAGAGCTTCATCGGTGCCCACGCCCTTCATGGCTTTCTGCAGCTGCCGGGCGGCGTACTCATTGGGGCGATCCAGAAGGGCCAAGGCTGTCTTCTCGAAATTTCCACTCAGTTCACTCTTGAGCACTTCCTCTAAGTCCTGCAAGAAGCACAGAGCCGTTGACTGCAAGAGTCATGGGAAGAGAAGTTGGGCGTCTGCCTACATTACTATGTGAGTTCCAGGGACAGGACACCTGCCCCAGACAGCCATAGCAATGATCTTGAGGACGGTGGTCACCACAATTGCCCATTCATCTCTCTCCTACCCCTAAATCTGGCCGAGAGGCACCTTGCTCAGGGCTGATGCCTCCCCACCCCAAGATGACTTGCAACAGCAAGAACATGTACAGAACATTTTAGAGTTCTGAGAGCTTCTCTCAGCTGAAGTTCCACACAGCCCCGCAAGGCTGGCAGGTGAATCGATGCATCTCATTCTCTCCACCTAATAAACCTCAGAAAATGAAGAATGTGCCCCCAAACATTCAGCTAGAAAAGACTCAACAATTTCCACTAATGGTCAGTGTTTTTATGGGGAAGAATAGCAAGACTTATGTCATAGGGTCATGGGGGAATGAGAATTCGTGAAAAACTCAGCATGGTGCCCACATTCAATGCTCAAAAAATTCATGGTAATATATATTATGCAAGAATATTATTGTTCCATCCTGAAAAGAATTTTCTGAGAAAACACAACTCAACTATTTCTCTTTATTGATCTCTGAGCTCTGGGTTTGGGAGAAAAAGCCAGAATATTTTATGCAAGGGGGTCTGCTGTGTTCAAAGGGGACTGTGGTATGATGCCTCTGTCCCTACTGTCACGTCCCCTCACACCGCGTCCTACCAAGGCAGGCCTTCCTCAAGACTACACAGTGTGGGTCCACTGAGATATTTGAAATACGTTTTTCCAGGTCAGAGAGGCATAGGACTCTAGAGAGGCCCAGCTCCTCAGTCTTTTGATCCACAGGCATGAAAGTCAAACTGGTATTTTCTATGCTTCTGAGCCCAAGAAGCAGGCACAGGAAGCCCCGACGCCTGTCCTGGCTTCTCTGATAACTGGCCGTGGTTCCACGCTGTCACTGTTCCCAGGGCTCAGCTGATGTGAGGACTTATGGTTGAGTGTTTTTAGAATCTCTTTGGTGGTCTCAGCTCTGTGTATATGGATACACACACACACATGCACACACACACACACGCACACACATAGATCCATACATATATGTGTATGGATCTATGTATGTAACAACAATGAAAAAAGAGGCCATGAATTTGAAAGAAAGAAATGAGGATTATATGGGAGAGTTGGAAGGGAAGAAAGGGAAAGAGAAAATGATGTAATTATGTCATCTCAAAAATCAAAGAAATAACTTTAAAGTTTTCTGAACCAATAATTCATGAAGAAATATGAATCTCAAAGACAGCTGAATACAAGAATATCCCTCTATTAAGCCCCACTTGTGGAAACTGGTTTTCAAATCATTGTCCCATCTATAAGTTATTATGTGGGATTAGTCCACATTGAATGAAAAATGAGTAAATGTAATAGAAAAACGAGGTCAATTAAAAAAAACGAGTTAAGGAGTACTGATTTATAGGCATTAATAACAATGTTAGTCTTTTGTCTAGTCAATGAAAAGTTCCAAATGCATTTTTCTCAGACTGTGTTCTGACGTCAACTGTGTTGTCCTTCCAGGGGTGTGTAGAGGGGGCTGAGGCTGACACAGCCCTGCGTACCTTGCCATACTTTGCCTTGTACTTCTGCTTTATCTGCTGCCTCTCCTCCGATGTCCTGATTGACAAGACTTCGATGATGGCCGCCTCATCCGTCCCTGAAGTGTAGGAGACAGACAAAGTCACAGTGATCAAGAAACGCAATGGATGTTGTTGTTATTCAGGTCTGAAGAAGCCAGCCTTAAAGGGGTCAGAGGCTAGAATGGGACTAGATGGACCTGATGGCTTTACTGTCTGGTGCTGAAAACCATATTCTTTCCACTCAGACAAATACCCATGGAGACTTCACTCTGTGCGCAGGGCAGTAAGAGGCATGGTTAGAAAGAGAAATGCCTATGGCATGTTCCCTAACTTAACTCCCAGGGGAATGAAAAAAATCTATACAATGTTCAGAGCAGCATTGGCCAAAATCAGCCAAAGGCAGAAAAATCCCAAAGTCCATCAGGAGACAGAAGGCTAAACAGAATGTGGGGTATCCATATAATAGAGTACTACTGGGTCACAAGAAGGACTAGAGTACAGAAAAATATGAATGAACCTTGGAAATGTTAGACTACGTAAAAGGAACCAATCACAAAAGACCACGTATTGTATGATTCTATTCGTATGAAAATCTAGAACAAAGTGGGTTAGGGATTGACATAGTGGACAGGGTGTATGCAAAGATGATAGTATTCTAAAATCAATCAACTGTCTATGGCCATACCACCCTGAACACATCCAGTCTCATCTAAATCAATTAACTGTGGTAGGGTTGCATATATTTATGAATATAGAAAAACACTTGTAGGGGTTTGAAAGAAAATGGCCCCAAAGGGAATGGCACTAAGGAGAGGTGTGGCCTTTTTGGAGTAGGGGTGGCCTTGTTGGAGTAGGGGTGGTCTTGTTGGAGGAAGTATGTCACTGTGGGGGTGGGCTTTGAGGTCTCCTATGCTCAAGCTACACCCAGTGAGACAGACCACTTCCTGCATATCATGATGTAGAACTCTCAGCTCCTTCCCCAGCACCATGTCTGCCTGCAGACTGCCATGTCCCACCATGATGATAATTGACTGAACCTCTAAACTGTAAGTCACCCAATTAAATGTTTTCCTTTGTAAGAGTTGCTGTGGTTCATGGTGTCTCCTCACAGCAATAGAAACCCTAACTAAGACAACATTGGACTGTATATTTTCAATGGCTAAGTTATATGGTATATGAATTCTATCTCAATCAAGTTATTTTAAAGACCTAATAAAGAGTATGTTTTGTTCCTTATCCTCTGGGTACTTATAACTGAATAGATAATATTGAAGCCCAAATTGACAGAATATTAATCTTATCCACAAATGTGTATGTGTGTGTGTGTGTGTGTGTGTGTATACATGCACACAAAAGACTTTGACACACCTCTAGCTCCTCACCTACAACCTAGTGTCATGTAGTTCCAAGGTATGTGAGAATGAAAAGAGAGTCCAAAGAGAGGTCCATGGTGCATATAGCAACAAGCTGTATACCACAGACAACAAGCAACGTAAATGCCCAAGGACCTGGCACTGTCTCACATCTGCGGAAGGCTTGTGTCCAGACAACCCTGCAAGGGATGCTCACCAATGATAGAGTATGCTAGGGTCCCACAACAACACTCAGCAGTTGTGAGCTCTACAAGGCACTTCTGAGGCCATCTAGTTCAAAGTCTTAATGATAGACGAGGAAACGGAGGAAGGAACATTTTATTGGTCCCTGCATGCATCTTTCTGAACTACAAACACTGTACTAGTTTACCCCTAGACTCCCATTAGTTTCTTCCCTCCCCTCCCCCACCTTCTTCTTGGCATCATATGCTGACCCGCCCTTCTTTTCCCTCTCCTGTAAGCTCAGTTTCCAATTGGCCTTTCTGGTTGTGATCTTCCTGTTCAGATGACCACTGATCTTTGCTGATGTGCTCCAGACCAACCAGTCTAGCCTAGCTCTCTCCTCTGAGTTCCTACCTTATTTCCAGCTGCCTGTAGCCACATTGTCATGGCTTTCCAAGGCATTTCTACTTGCAGGGTTTCATCGCTGGATTCCTTTGGTAAAGTCTTAAGTCCATTCTCTGCCCTATTATTTCATTTCCATGCATGACGTCACCTTAGTTGGAAAATCCAAAGTCACCTAAGGGTTCACCTCTGTTGCCTTTGCTTTCCGATGCCACTGCCAACAAGTCCTGACTGCCTTTAGTGTTCCTGATGCAAGGCACTGATCCCTGCAATGTCCAGATCATCTCACCCATAACCTAAATGTCATGAGACTTCATGACTCCTAGGGTTGGATCAGAATCCCCAAATGGAACAAGACTTCCTGCAACTTGGTCCCAAGCTGTTCTTCTAGACCCATCTCTATGATGACTAACACAAGGCTCACTTAGCTTCTCTTAAAGATGTTTGTTGGTAGCTCAGTTACCTTCATAAGCCTCGAAGAGTCAATTTCCTGTTTTCTGTATTTTTCCATAACCAGTTATATCACCAGTGTTAGGACCAGTTAGAGGATTGAATAGATGTAAAGTTGTGAGTCTGGGGTCTGGGCCCTAGGCAGTGGTCATTCAATGGCAGGGGCCACTGTTGGGTTGTCAATTACATCTATATTGCTTGAGCCATAACTGGGAGCTTGGGGGAATCGAAGGTTCTGCCGGGTCCACTGACCTGTGTTCCCTATGTCATATGACTGGAAGTATGAAACTGACTTAGAAAGGCTGATCTATGACTATTTTTACATTTAGTAATTATGATTTAATTTTAATGTGAACTTGTGTTTTGTGAAAGAACAAGAGTTAAGAATACATTGAATAAGAAGGAAATGCTAAGTCAATAATATTTGTATTGGCAAAACTTTGGGGAAGGTCAAACATTGGTGGTCCAGATCCCTTCTAATGGATTATTGACTCTTCAGGGATGTGGGTGAGTATGACATAGCCTTAAGTCTCTTTACACAGTGGATTATGGTGGTTCTAGCATGTTCTGTGAAAGTGCCTGTTGCATTGTCCTGCACTGATTTACTCAAAGAAAGTGATGCAAAGCTGAGCGCCCGTGAATTTGGGTTAGTATTTCTCCCACTCGGTCAGTCGCCTCTTCTGAAATGGCCACTGCCCATAGAAATAAAATGTGAGCCACAAACCCTTTCATGGGGGGCTTCTGCCATCCAGACCTGTAGTATCAACACATTTCCATTGTTTGAAGCCATGTTATTTTGGGGGAGTCATTATGAGATTCTAAGATATGAATACAACTGCTCTCCTCAGTATTGCCTCCAGATTTTGTAGCAGGAAACAAGACCTCTCTCTACAACCCCAAACCCGGTGAGTCCTGCAGTTGCTGGTGACTACCTTCAGTTGAAGGGGAAGGGGATTGGTGCAGTGACCTGTGAACAGAGCTGAATGAATGAACTGGTGAATGAATACTACCCTGCTAGGAGACTGGGATCCTAGGGGACCAGTAAATGGAGCTGACACATTTTGATGGAAGAGTTGGGAGCAGGAGATGGAAAAGCTCTGGCTGGAGGGAAGAAGATGGAGCCTGGCATACACCTATGATGTTTTACTTTCACTTTGGCTTTGCATCAGCACTTATGACTGTCTTTGGAAAGACCCAGCCAGAACTTAGAAGGAGAGAGCCAGTGCGGGGGACAGAGAGCCGTGTGGTAGCTACCAGCTTTGTGTCCTTGGACCAGTCATTTCATCTCAAGGGTTGTTTCCACCTCTGTAATTCTGGGAAGATTTTAGCTATTTGGGTCCAACCAGAAAAAGAGAAAATCCTAGGATGAGCTCACTTGCAAAAACAGCAGGAGTTAATTGCTGCCTCTTTCTGGTTTGGTTCCAACACTGTCATTCCTGCCGTCCCTCTTGGTTTCCTCCAGGGCTTTCTCCTGGGTGACGTGGATCTGTGTACTCGACGATGTTTTTGTGATTAACTTTTAAATGTCTGAGTGCCAGAAATCTCACCTCAGAAAAGATTTCATGTTCTTTGAAATATCACAGAATGTACCCTTTCGGTTCTGTGGACCCTCCTTCCCTTGGGTCTCCTCCTGTCCCTGTCGAGGGCCTCGGTACTGTAGGGTTAGGTCCTAGAGCCTCCCATGCCTTCCTGCCTCCATTTGGTATTTTCATGTCTTTCTGAATGAATTAATTAATGACTGAATGAATGACTATTTGTATGTATGAATGGAAGGAGATGTTTGCACACCCTTAGGATAGAACTTGTCTCCGCATTGGTGTGAGTTGTGTGTTGTACTCAGAGGGACTGTATATAGCAAAGGCCAATAGTAAACATTCTCCTCCACTGTGATGTCATATGCATCCTATATCTGGATAATCAGGGAAACTGAGTTTATTAGAAAAATATCTAGTTCTCTGGATTTTCCTTGCTAGAAGGCTTTTAAACAAGAGAGATCTTAAGATGAACATATTGATATACCCCTGTAATTCAAGTACTGAGGCTGAGGTAGGGGGATTACAGGTTGGAGATCAACCTGGGCTATATAATGAGTTCAAGGCCATCCTGGTTTATGCAAGACCTCGTGTAAAAAGAAAAAAAAAGCAAAACAAAACACTGAAAAACGCAGACACAAGAGAGCAGAGTGGTCGCAAGATGGATGGTTCAACACCAGCCTGCCGGTGGGGGAAGGGCAGGACAATGGCACCTAGATAACCTTGAAGCCATTTGAAACCAAGTCTCGGGTTGATCCTGGAAGCTGTTTTTACAACCCAAAGAAGAAGCCGTTTGCTGAAGGTGACTTTCACTCCAAATTTCAAGGTCCATGTGTCTCAGAAGCAGGTTGTGCTGCTGAGCGATTTCCTGTAAACATTTGTAATGGTTTGAAGCACTCAGGCCAGGCCACAGTGGTTCTGGGAACGATTTTAAAATTGAAAAAAAAAAAAAAAAAAAGACCCTCCATGCTGGCTGTATGGGGAGTAATTACATAGCTCTCTCAGAGCCAAAATGATCACCAGCCTGGAAGGACCTGTGGGCATCTGTGGTATGCTTTCCCAGCAATTTTCTGGAGAGCAGCTGGGTGGTGTTGGAGTTTTGGCAGGATGCGACCACAGTGTTTGAAGTCCACAAGGTTCTGTGTTTCAGATAAACAATGCTAAACTGGTAGCAGAAACTCCAGCCCACACTGACCTGGTTGACCCCAGAAGGCTGTGTTCTTAGATCTGGTGCTTGAGGCCAGGCCCCTCATTCTCACATGGTGGGGAAGAAGGGCCCAGGGGAGGCAAGAGAAATGATGAGTGGGGCTGAGGGGACCAGCGGTTTGCACGTGTTCTCTGCATTCCTTTCCAGAGGTCCTTGTGTCAATTACCACAAATTCAATGCCTTCGAACAATACAACTTGCACCCCTACAGTTCTGGGTACTGGAAGTCTGAAGTCACTGTGTCAATAGGTCCATAGTCCTGGTTCTCCCAGCTTCTTGGTATTCTTTGACCTGTGATTACATGAGAGCAGTCTCTACCTGTCTTCACAAGTCCCCAACCCACCGCCGCCATCTTTCTCTTCTATCTTTCTGAAAGACACCGTCATTGGATTTAGAACCTACCCAGGTAACCCAGGGGGCTCTCTTCCTAGCATCCTTAACTCAATCACATCTCCAAAGACTGCTTTTCCAAATAAAGACAAGGCCGCTCTCCTAAATTCTGGGGTCCTAAAGCTTCTAGAGGCCTCCCTTCAACCTTTTGTGATGGAGAACAAGTTGGGCCTGCTTAATGCACAGGCTCACCTAATTGAATCAGAGCACACTGTTAAGGAATGGCTTAATGGTCACCATGTAATGAGGGCCAATGGGGTGCTGTACACAATACATACTGATAGTGCGGGGAAACAGTGCTGGGCTGAAAGTTAGGACCGGAGTTCTAGGCCAGAAGCATGCTCTGAAGTGGTTGAGCAGTTTAACCTCCGTGTACCTCAGTGGACCTGAGTGTGACCCTAAGATGTGGTCCCAGACTCTGCAGTGTTCTTACTAACTGAGACCTATTGGAGATGCAAAGTGGACAGTCCCCTTCTTCCCCATATCTCTCAAAGATGGCTTGATAACTGGTGTGCCTTTGAACATCTGAGAAGCCATGAATTAGACCATCTCTGGTGGCTTTGATATCTAGGGGGCTGTTGGTCCATACACAGTTATATTAAGGCATTCTCTTTGGTGGTGTCAGTTCATGGTGATAACTCCATAAAGAGTAACTATAGGCAGAAGCAGGTGGAGGGTGTGGTGCCTAGGAACTGGGATGGGGCAGCAAAGGAGCCCAGGCTGAGAAAGAGTGTCAGGGTCAGGGATAGGTTGGGGACCGTTTTGGGTTGCCCATAACCCAGATTGTCCACATACTTAGGGCATCATAAGACCCCAGGAGAGCAAAAATGCCCCAAACTGGAATCTAAGTTTTGCACCATTGGGAGGAATAAACTATCATTTTATTAGGGACCATTATAAATTTGACTTGCCTGGGTGGAAATGCATGTAATCTTTGCTCTGCTTGGGGCTTCCAGCCCTCCATTCAACCCATCAGCTACTGACTAATCATGGCTATTTAGTACTTGAAGGGTGATTGATGCATACCAAAATATTCTATAAGTACAGAGTACATGCCAAATTTCAGAGAATTAGTACAAAACAAAAGAAAACAAATAAAAACAGAATGTAAAAACCTCATTCATAATTTTGTCAATATTGGGGTAAAATGATAATTTTTTATAAATTGGGATTAATGGGATTGTATCATCAAAATAATATATATTAATAATATTCTTTTTTCTTTTAAAATTTGACTTCTTAAAAATTCAAAGTAAAACTGGGTGTGGTGGCACCTGCCTGTAACTCCAGCATTTGGGATGTAGAGGCAGGAAGATCAGTTCAGGCCAAGCTTGGTTATATAATGAGTTCAAGGCCAGCCTAGACTACATGAGCCCCTGACTTCAAAACAAAAACAGAGCTGGGAAGATGGCTCAGTGGGTAAGGTCCTCGCTGTGCAAGCACGAGGACTTCAGCTCAGATCCCCAGCCCCCATGTCAAACACGGTGTAGACCTGAAATATCGGTACTTGGAAACAGGAGCATCCCTGGGGCTCGATGGCCGCCCAGTCTAGCCAATTGGTGAGCTCCAGATTCAGCGAGAGACCCTGTCTCCAAACCAGGTATAGAGTGGTTGAAGAGGACACCCGACAGCCGTTGCTGGCCTGCATATCCACGACTGCGCATAGCTGCAGATGAAACTTGCAACACTGCATGGGACGGCACGGGCCTGTGATCCCAGCACTAAACAAGGAGAATGGCCACCAACTTGAGGCTAGCCTGGGCTATACAGCAAGGCCTTATCTCAAAGAAACATTTGAAGTAGTAAAGTGATCATATGACTTGTGTGACCATTGGAGAATTTCACTCTAGACATTTAAATTCTGCTCTGGCAGGACTGCCCCACAAAGTCTCGAAGGCAAATTATCCATGATGTTTACTTCGGTGTGTTCTTGTCAAAAGAGGTGAGATTCTATACTTTCAACCAAATCAGAGACCTCTCAGATGGCCAAGTGTCTAAAGGCTCCACCCTTGTTTCACAATTTTATGATTTGAGGCCAATATTTCACACCAACCCTTTCATTCTCACCTGATATACTATAATAGTATATACATTACAGGCTTGTTCGGGAGACTAAACAGGACAATGATGGATGAGTGACATTGAGCTAGGCAATGGTCACACAGGCACTCTACTCAGTAAGAGGCACCTTGGCTCCATTCTGAGGTCACATACAAAAGGGACATGAGAACTCTGATTTTGGCATTCAGTAGATGCTCAGCCCGGATGTTTTACAATGAATTTTAGGAGAGGAAGTAAGAGTTCATGTTAAGCATGCTACATCATTACCGTACCCAATAGCATACTCCTGTCTCCATCCCATGGCCAGGCATCTGGACTTCACCACAGAGCATCAGGAAAGTGTCAGCTGCCTGGAAAGTACCCTGGGGTTCCCTTCCACTCAGCAAACCTCAGGCATAAACATCCTGAGGCTTCCATAAAGGCCTTTCCTGGACAGCTGTCTGCCTGACATGAGACTAGAGATGAGCCGCAGCAGGATGTAAGCAGGAAGCTGCATCCTCTGTGCTTTTCTCTGATTTCCCCAAGCTGTCACTGCCGAGCAGGCCTGTCTACTTCCAGATGCATCTTCCTTGCCCTGCACTCAGCTCCTGTCAGATCTGATTCCTCACGACCTCCCACGGAAAAGGCCAAAGTGATTGAGACAAGATTAAGATAGCATAAGCTTCAATCCTAATGAAGTTCCCCATAACTTCAAGATCAAAGTAAATGTCACAAGATTTAGCTTGCAATACCCTTCAAAGTAATGAGCCCCCTATGGTAACTTTGAGACCTCAAATAAAGAAGTTACTGGAAGAGATCAACTTGAATTAGCTTAGAATACATAGGACAGGTAGGTCACCTTGCTGTCACTATGGGAAAGTAGGTCATGACATCAAGCTTAATCAATTTCAAAAACAAATAAATGAACAAAATTATTTCATACCCATTCCTTTGCAGGCTTTGTACAGCTTTTTGGCATCTCGGTCTGCATCAAAACCCTGAGGGCTTTTCTCTTTGGCCTGGAGAGGAAATAATTCAAAAGGGGATAATGCGGTCATTCTTAAATTAGTTTTGCTAGAATAGAAGACCAAGCCATCATCTCAAGAAAGGACAGATGCCACTCTACAAGGAGATGCTGGTGGAAATCAACTTGGGTAAGCTTTGGCCCCAGAGAGATGGCTGGTACTCTTTGGGGCCAGATGGCCGTGGGTGATCAGGGAAGAAGTGTCTCCTCTGCTCTCAAGGACAATTGCTCAGGCCAACTCTAAGGCAAATGATTTTCATACCAACCCATCTTTGTGTGTCCTTTTCTCTCAAACAAAGCATGACACAGTGGGCCACTGTCCCTGGAGTATCTGTCCTCCATGACAGATATAACAAATACATCTAGGGAACGGGGTTTGCAGGTCAAAGCTGAGGAAATCTTATTACAGATTCTTTTGCTGGCCTGGATTGGTGCCATCCACCCAGGAAGAACATCATTAAGTTTGCCGGAGGCTCTATGTGAACCGACAAGAGAGTAGTTCTTAGTTTTTTCATTCTCTTGGGAGAGAAAAGTCCTATTTATATATTGAGCTGTATCTTGTATTTCAGTCTTTGGAATTAATGCATGCACTGATGTGTTCTTTTACTTATGCTGATAGCCTTATTATTTGCATAATAATAAGGTTGTGAGTGTGAAGGCTTTCCTTCCCTTATTCAACAGACTTTGTTATTTTAAAAAGACATTTTCATTAGCACTAAACTGGAAAACCAATATCATTTGCATAAATAACAGATCACCATAAAAGTAAACAGATCGTAGCCAGGCGGGGGTGGCGCACATCTTTAATCCCAGCACTCGGGAGGCAGAGCCAGGTGGATCTCTGTGAGTTCGAGGCCAGCCTGGACTACCAAGTGAGTTCCAGGACAGGCACCAAAACTACGCAGAGAAACCCTGTTTCGAAAAACCAAAAAAAAAAAAAAAAAAAAAAAAAAGGAAACAGATCATGATTAAAAATGTAAAGGTGGGTTAAATCGCCATTCTGCAGCTAATAACCTTGGGTACACCTGAGTTCTCTCAACTCTTTGCCTTGCCTCACTCCACAAGGCACCTATGTATGTCCTTCAATGAAGCTGGCTTAGGGGACAGGGTCCACATCACCTTCACTCTACTTCTGCTCCTTGCACAGAGGAAATGAGGAGCAAACTGCCCATGGGACAACGGGCATGTGGTATTTATCTGCTTGGCATCACTGTTTCTTTGGTGGATTGCTCTGCCCCCGTTCTCGTTATCCCAAATGAGATTGTCAGTCATGAGGCCTGGTCGGCATCATTGTTGGTCAGCAATGTGGACACCTGCCCTGTCACTCTGGCTGTCGTGACTGGTTCAGGACTAAGGATGCAGCTGAAAGAGTCATCCAGTCCTTCCCTTGGTCAATATACCGAGAGAGGAATGAGACTCCCTCTACTGGCCTCGTGGAGCAGAGCGACTCTTAACTGAAAGCTGTTTTGGCGGCCATTTTGCCCATTACATACCATAGACAGAAAGTGTGAGAGGAGAGAAGATGAGAGCAGGAGCTAGCGAAGAGTGAGGAGAATGGGCGAAGGAGGAGGAGGAGGGCAGGAAGAAAAATATCCCCAGCATGGCAGTGCCTGGATCCTTGACTTTCTGTCTCATCAATGACAACCATAAACTCACCCTTGGCTCAAGAGGTTTCCATGAATGGAGAATCATAGGTTCTGAGAGTCAAAAGGGGGGCCTTTGGGCCACCCCTTACCCTTTTTGGCTTGTGAAGCCATGGTCCATTAGTTTAAAAAAATAATTCCTATAGAATTTTCTTACATTTACTTACATATGAATTGATTGTATGTATTAACTGATTATGTATTAATTAACTGATTGATTTTGTTTGTATATGTTTGTGGGTGTGGGCAGGTGAGTCTATGTAGAGGACAGGATAATTTGCAGTGTTCTTTCCTTCCATCATGTAGGTCCTGGGGACTGAACTCAGGCCACCAGTCTTGGTGGCAGGTGTCTTTACCCACCGAACAATCTTGCCAGCCTAACATGACCTGTACTGAAACAAGCCAGGAGGTGGGCTGGCATCCTTAGAACACCTGCTACATACCAGCCAGTTTATAGACCTTCTTTTGTTATCTATAGAGAATGGACACTACACTCACAGTGTTCATTATAGGCAAGGACACCTGGCTTCAGGTCATGCACCATCCTGCCGCTCACCCCACTTAATGCCTCAGGCCTTCTGCTCAGGCAGAGGACTGACATTCCCACTCTCCTTATCCAGATCTCACATGGGGTTGAAAAAGCTTGCCTGCTGCTGTTGGAGGCTTGTTGGCAAGAACTGCCACATTATTTTCAGGACTCACTACCAAGCGATGCTCAAAAGTGATGAATTCCAACATGATGTTATCGGAGTATTCAGGCAAACGTGGGGTTCTTTGAGCATGGTTTCCCATGAGGCCACACTACTCCATACTCATGGAGCCCACTCTACTTTTGAAGAAAAGTATGTGTATATGTGCACATGATGTGTGCATGTGTATGCTTGCTTGTGTGTATGAGCAGGGACATGGATTTAGCATGTCGCCAGTGAGGAGGATAGAAGTCGGCCTCTGGAGAGATGGCTCAGAGGTTAAGAGCACTGACTGCTCTTCCAGAGGTCCTGAGTTCAATTCCCAGCAACCACATGGTGGCTCACAACCGTCTGTAATGAGATCTGGCGCCCTCTTCTGGCCTGCAGTCATACATGCTGTATACCTAATAAATAAATACATCTTAAAAAAAAAAGTCAGCCTCTAGTGTCAGCCTTCACCTTTCACCTTGTTTGAGACAGGTCTCTTGTTTGCCACTGTGCTCCCAGGTTAGCTGGCTGGGAGCGTCCCTGGAGTCTTCCCTTTCGGTCTCCTGTCTTGCCATCGGAGCACTAGCGTTACAGATGTGTGTTACCGCGTTCGATGTTATGTAGATTCTGGTGATCTGAACCCAGGTCTTCACACTTGTGAAGCAAGAGCATCACCCACTTAGCCATCCTCCCCCCAGCTACCCACCATATTTTTTTTTTAAATCAAACTCCAGGAAAAGGTGGTTCTCTGCGGGTGGAAGTAGGAGTCTCAGAAGAGCACATGGTGTGCTTTGCTCTTCTTCAGGGGCAAGCCTGAACCTGGACAGCAGAACGTGTCTCTTCAGGGGTCCATTCCCAGACTGCTCCACGGGTCCTGTTGGCCTCAACAGCACTCAGGACAGGTGTTAGCCGTCCCACTTCAAAACTAAGAGTGGAAGCTGAACACAGGGCTTTGGAAAAGGCTGTGGAGCTTAAGCTCTGCCTCAGGTCCCTATGAGTCAGGTCACACTTTTCAAGTGCTGGCAGGGTGGCTTACCCTCAAAGGGACGCCTTTTCCTCATGGGCACAAAGAAGTTTCGAGGGCTATCAGAGGTCATGTGAAGATTTGTCTGAGATCTCCTGGTCAGGGAATGGCTGAGTGGGAACTAAGGCTAGAATCAGGACTTTCTGACCATGGAAGATAGTAAATTACATCCCTGACCCCAGCCCTGTCCTGTTTACAAGTATCATGGAAGTATAACTGAGGGATGGGAAAAGCATCCCCTGTACTTTCCCAACAAGTTCAAGGGCAAAAGCTGAGTCAAAGTGTCATTTGGTTCAAATTATGATGCCTGGGGACTCAGTGAGAGGGTGTGGAACCATGTGTTAGGAGTGGAGGTGATGCTCCACGTGGTGGTTTGAATGAGCATGGCCCCCTATGAGCATAGGCTCATAGATTTGGATGTTGGGTCATCAGGGAGTGGCACTATTTGAAAAGGATTAGGAGGTGTGGGCTCATTGGAGGAAGTGTGTCACTGGGAGTGGGCTTTGAGGTTTCAGAAGCCCACACCAGCCAGGCCCAGGCTCGCTTGAGCTCTCTCTCTCTCTCTCTCTCTCTCTCTCTCTCTCTCTCTCTCTCTCTTCCTCTCTCTCTCGTGTGTGTGTGTGTGTGTGTGTGTGTGTGTGTGTGTGTGTGTGTGTGTGTGTGTATGTGTGTGTGTGTGTGTTTAAGCGTCAGGATGTAGGTTTCAGCAATTGCTCCAACATCTGCCTGCATGCCTCCATGCTTCCTGACATGATGATAATGGACTGAACCTCTGAAACTGTAAGCAAGCTCCAATTGCATACATTCCTTTATAAGAGTTTTTTGGTTGTGGTGTCACTCAGCCTCCACATTCAAAGCAGGCAGGGTATCTATCTGTGTGCTCACTCAAAACCTGGGGAATATGGCCACCCCGGGCTGGCATCCCCTGACACCAGCTCTGTCGCTAACCCACATTCCTCCCCTGTGAGAAGTTCTGCACCATGACCTTGGTTTCAAGACTGAAATCTCCTGGCTGACAAACAGGACCAGGCCCTGAAGTCTGCTGCCCATTTATCAGTGAACAATGGCTATGGCATGCCTGCTACCTGCGAATTCCAGAGAAAAACCTGTACCAGTTTCTCCAGAGGAGCCCCAGGACATCCTAGGATCAACCAAGGAGCCACTGACAAACATCAATACAGTCATTGTGGAGACAGACCCAGCCACACAGAAGAAAAATCCAAACAGGCTGAGATTCCCTCTCTTTCTCCTTCCTCCTCACAGCAGTAGAACAGTTACTAAGACCCTGGGACTTCTTTATGGGTGTGGATGCCTGGCATATAATGTAGAGTGGACTCCATAGCAGAAACACCATCATTGGCAGGGAAGGACAAGGACCCAGGCCCAGCTCCTTGTAGGAATCACTGTTAGCCATGCTGTCCTTTCCAACCTAGTTGAGAAGAGAATAGAGTCTTGTTCTTTGTAACAGCAGGGTTAATGTTGTTCCATGTCATGATTTAAGAGAGAGAGAGAGAGAGAGAGAGAGAGAGAGAGAGAGAGAGAGAGAGAGAGAGGCAAAGGGGGAGGGGAGAGGGAGGAAGACAGAGAAGAGGAGGGGGGGGGGGGAATCTCAGCCTGTTTGGATTTTTCTTCTGTGTGGCTGGGTCTGTCTCCACAATGACTGTATTGACATTTGTCAGTGGCTCCTTGGTTGATCCTAGGATGTCCTGGGGCTCCTCTGGAGAAACTGGTACAGGCTTTCCTCTGGAATGTGCAGGTAGCAGGCATGCCATAGCCATTGTTCATTGATAAACGGGCAGCAGACTTGGGGGCCTGGTCCTGTTTGTCAGCCAGGAGATTTCAGTCTTGAAACCAAGGTCATGGTGCAGAACTTCTCACAGGGGAGGAATGTGGGTTAGCGACAGAGCTGGTGTCAGGGGATGCCAGCCCGGGGTGGCCATATTCCCCAGGTTTTGAGTGAGCGCACAGATAGATACCCTGACTGCTTTGAATGCGGAGGCTGAGTGACATCCTTTGTGTTTTGATGGCTTTGTTTTGAGCAGCCCTGGCACCCACTGACACTCAGGAAACAAAGATGGCCCAAGAGATTAAATGCCAGCAACCATCAGTATGAGGGCTTGGGCCTGAGCCACAGGAATTCTGGTTCAACTCTGATTTGGCTACTTGGCTGCTCACCTGTAAGTCAGTGTATGCTAGCTTTATGCCACGTGACTGCTTCACGCCAGCACTAAATAGCCCACTGTTACAGAGCATCTGTGTGAGTCCTTCCCTGCCTCCTCAGGCACCTCTTGCCCTTCTATCTTGCGGTGGTGTCTCCCAACGTTTCAGAAAGTAATATTTATGTAGCTATCAATTACACATGTGTTTTCAAGACAGGATCTCACACATCCCAGGCTGTTCCTGAACTCACTGATTCTTGAGACTCCAACCTTTACTTCCAAGTGCTGGGATTATAGGTGTCGCCACAATGCCATGCCTGGCTCAGTTATGCCTATTTCAGCAACAAGCCTGGGAAGTTAAATGCACATATATTAAGATACCTAAGTTTCATATTCTACATATTTTGATTCACATATATTTGACATGTGCAGCGGGCCCCAAGAATATATTATGGAGATTCAGCTATATAACAAAGCTATACCTAGAAAAGTCAAGGCATTTTTCTAGAGGAAGCCATTTATCAAGGAATATTTGATGTTACTCAGTTTTTAATATATCAGCTGTCTTCTGCTGTGAAATTCTTGTGTGCTCATATACTACTAGACCATATGGCAAACAGTTAAGCTTCTCAGACTTACTGCTGATTCAGTAGGTAACACCCCTGCAGAGCCTAGGAGACAGGCAGACTGTAGATGCATAGCTTTGTTTCTTGTACAAATGAAGCTCAGACCATCCCTTGCCTTCAGGACTAGTAGCATTGCAGAGCTATTGACTCAGGACAATGGGGCTTTTTGCATAACCAGGTGCAGTAAAGACTGAAGTGGAATTCCTGGCCCAGGCAGAGTGGCATGGCCAGAGAGAAAGGAACAAGGCAGATCTTTGTAGAGAATAAGAATCAGGTCAGGAGAGAAGAAGAGGAAGGAAAAATGGAGGATGAAGGAACAGGGGATGAAGAGGAGATCAAAAACATAAGGGCTTAGTTATTACTAGGGCTATGAGGGGACAGAGAGGAGCTGAATGTGAGGAAGGAGCTGAAGCTGTATAGATAGAATTTTGTCTTAGAGAAATAAAGTATATGGACGAAAGAGCATGGTGTACATAGATTCTTTCCCCGAAAATAATTCTCACCGTTCATAACCTGTCTTCTGGGCTCCTGGGAAGAATATTATTAAGGTTGGTCCTCAATAATACTCAAGAGACATACATCTGTGCATGAACACACACACACACACACACACACACACACACACACACACGTATGTATGTCTCTATATCATAATGTCCAAACAGTATCATTTATTGCCGTTGGCCACTAAAGACCTGGTAGTTAAGGTAAATAGATTGTGAAATGTTACCCATTACTAGCTGTATAATCTAACTGCTAGCAAAATATTCTAATTTACCACACTCTTTGTTGACTTTATCATCATCTAACATTTAAGGAAGAGAATTTTTTTTTTATTTATAGTAGAGCAATTGCTACTTTGCTTTAAAATTTTTTATGGGGCTAGAGAGGTGGCTCAGTGATTAAGAACACTAGCTGATCCTCCAGAGGACCTGGATTTGATTCCCAGCACCCACATGGCACCTCACAATGGTCTATGCTTCCGATTTCATATGATCAGGTGACCTCTTCTGGCCTCCCCAGGCACCAGGCTCACATGTGGTGCAGAGACATACATGCATTCAAATGCCTGCCCCGTCCACCATTGGTCCCGAACACTTGGGGAAGAAGAGAAGAAAGAAGGAGGAAGAAAACAAGGTGAGAAAGAGAAGCACTGTTCAGAGGAGAGTTTAACTTGTTCTGATGTATTTTAATTAATCCATGTGGCTCTGACACAGCTATTTATTCCTTTTCAGTCTTTTGTTGTCCTTGTTGTTGGGTATTTTGTTTTTGAAATAGTCTCATTCTAGCTCAGGCTAGCCCGAAA